CTTCAATTCATTTTTTTCTGGTTCAAGATGAGTAGGAGCCTAATAAGGCTGTGATAAAAGGGCAAAAGGCACCGAGAGCCAAAAGAGGATTAATGAGCTCCTCCATTTATTTGTCTTCCTAACAGCTGAACTGTTACAACTATTGACACTCTTCAAAAGGTTCCGCACTGAACTCCACCCAGGCTCTGCAGGCTCCAACGGGCATCCTCAAATCCAGAGAATAGAGGGGCAAGAGCTTCCTCTGTGTGATGCCAAAACCAACAAAGCCCCACGGATCAGGTAATGAAACTTCAGCTTTTCCCCCTTTGAGATTTATTTACTGGCAGCTGACGAGGGGCAAATTCAGCTCGAATTGTGTAGTCAAGGCCCTGTCAAGCCTTTAGAGGCACCCTTGTCTTGAAGCACCTTCATGACTGGCATTTCACTCAAAAGCCCCCGGCACTGGTCCTTAACAGCTTATGACATCACAAAGGACACTCCAGACAGATGCCTACATGGCATCCTGCAGCATTTTAAAAGAGAATTAGTGGTTTTAATTATGGTCGTAGCATGAAAGGGAACCATGCAAGCTCCACAGGAGACCTTTGATCAGACCCTTTTGCTAGTACAATGCCACGGAACTGTGACTATTCCTAGTAAGGGGCCTTTTCTTGCTGAATGACTCACCAGTGATCTTTGAATGCAGACAAGCTTCTAGCCCTCCCTCTTCATTAGTGAACATTTCTATACAGGGGCCTATATAGTGCTTGGAGTCTAGGAGCTATACAATTGGAGGGAAAAGAATCCCTACAGATTCTAGCCTCTACTTAGGAAGTGCTGAAGGACTCTGAGTGACTTTATTCATTAAAACAGGTTGCTATTAATTAACTGTCATAATAAAATAAAGAACTATTATTTGCATTTCTTAGTGTGCTCCCTTTAGTAATATGTATAAAAGATGCTTGTAACAAAAATGAATTTATAAGGGGGAGGGAGGGGGAAACTCCCCTCAAAAGTCTCCTTTTTTCGGGTTAGGCAGCAGGAGTCTAACTAATTATTAGGCCCAGTTCGGCAGGAGAACAAATAGAGGTAAAACACAAATATGAAAGTAATTAGGAAAATGCAAAACCCTGTTTACTTGGCAACTGATTCATGCAACTGAGACTAACGAAGAGCAAATCAGCTTTGCTTGTTTGATAAACTTAAGGGTGCCACCTAAGAGGAGCTGATAAAAAAAAAATTATTAAAACTTTGCCAGCGTCTCTCGGCACTGCTGGTTAGGCGTGGAAACAGTCATATAACAATTCCTTCTGATAAAAAACAACAGAAGACATAATGTGAAAGGTTTTAGAAAAAGGCATCTTGAAACTATTTCCGCTTTCAATATTTTACCTTTGCAGTTTTGTCATCAATGATAGGTTATAGCTGCAGTCGCACACAACACACTGCCACCTTCACCCTGTGTGTTAAGATAGTGGTGTCCTGGGTCAGCATATCCAACGATATCCAAATTAAGACATGTACCTTCTGTGGGAGAAATAGTCTCTAACTTGCACTGCTCCCGACTAAAATATTTTAATTTCCAGTATTTCAATCGGATCACAGATCTTTGCATCTCTCTCCTTTCCCAGTGATAGTAAATTTTACAAAAGCTTCCAATTATTTCAAGACTGTGCAGCTAGAAAGGGGACATCTAATCAAGGCAGAACTTGACTAACTATATTTGCCTGAATGGGTTTTCAATAATGTAGTTAACAAAAGCATTCAATAATTTGATGCCTAAATGCTTTCTGCTGTGCTGAAGGACTGATTATGAGAGAGGAGAGTGCTGGTGTTTTTGTTCTAAAAGGCTGGTATGTAGGAATGTGTGATATTGTGTAGTTTCATGTGCACACTTACACAGCAATTGATAAAAACGAAGAGGGCACCATCAGCCTGAAATCTAGTCAATTAGCGCACAAGAGTTCAACATACATCTCTGCCCCCCCTCGTTTTCTGCACTTTTAAAACAGTATATTCCTATTCTTTTAACAATGTTCTTCTCTCCTCTGCTGATATCTGAAAATCCCCTGCGCAAGTACATAAGAAAAGACAACAGATAAAGCCTGCTGTCAAATGCCCAAATACACAAAAAGAGGAAAAAAACCCCCTCTTTTTTCTCCAATTTTGTAATTTTTTGCACAACCAGCCAATCGGGGAATTACAAAGAGAAGGGGGGTTTATTTGTTTGTTCATTAAAACCTTTATGGGTTGTCGCTCACCGTGTCAAAACACAGATCTACACTACAAAAAGATTTTGTTGCAGATGAAAAGTGAAGAAATATGTATGCATGTGAATGAACACACACACAATATGCCTTTGAGGTGGCTCCCCCATGATAAATTGCAGAGTCACATGATAAATATGACATCTCCACCAGCTTCACCTGCACTCTGTTCACTAAGGCTAGGTACAGACATTCAAGAAGTCTGAGCCTGAGTTGATTCAATTTTTGCACGTTAGACTAACGTGCAACACTTGAACCGATCTGGAGGTGTTAGACAGTCCCTTTTCATTCCAGATTGCAGGCACTCAGGCTACAAGCCAGGGGGTGTTAGAGCAGCCCTCCCTCCCCTTCCACATTGCTGAGCTGAGTGGGGGGGGCATGGCCAGGCCCCGCAGGACACTCTGATTAAGGAGGGGTTCCCCCCTCACTGGTCAGCAAGGGAGCCAACAGGGATTTACACAGCAATGAGATACACGGGGAGCATTTATCACCCCATCAGCAAACCATCTCTTATTAGTTCAAGCTCTTCTTAAGCAACTGTTTCCAAGGAAGGAAAGGAGGGATATTACCAGCTACCTGTTGATTAGCTCCAAAGAGCCCTAAGCCGACACTGTCCTGTCTGCCTTTGTCCCGTCTCCCACAGCACGGACTGTAGCCAGCATGGGGTCTGCTAGCTAATGCTGATAGGTGTCTCTGTAAGGCTGATGAGGTTGGGGGATAGCAGGAGGAAGCCAGGCAGACACAGCTGTACATCTCTGCCAGAGCTGCAACCAGGGACCAAAGGGGAGGGGCCAGCCCAGCTTTCTGGAGCAGAGAGCCCAGCCCAGACAGCATGCTGGGATGCTGAGGGACTCTAATTTAATATAAACCAGGAAGGGGTCTAGGATAGACATTGCATAAACCGGTTTGACCCAAATCAGTTAAGTCTGATACTACATTCAACTAGGTTTATCTTAACCGGTTTCAGCCATTTTCAAACTGATTTACGTGCACTGAACATCTGTTCTGTTACAGGTTTAAACCAGTTTCTGATCACCCGTTTATGTCTAACGTCTGTCCCTAGCCTAAGGCATCTCCATCTCTGCTTGGTCTAATGCATCAAATCCTCAGAGAACCCTTCACAGTTGCCATCTAAATGCCTTTTCTTTCTCCCTTCCACCAAGATTCAAACCAGGTACAGTTCCTCTCTGCATAATCCTGCCAGGATTTTAATGTGTGATGGGCCTGAAAAACCAGAAATGGAAACTTTTTATGATGGCAAGTAGGGTCCAACATGTGTGTGTGAAAATACAGTGATGTTACTTTAGAAAATGGATTTCTGCCCTATAGAGCTGGATTTATGATAAAAAAATCTGTCTTGTGGAGTCAGGTTAAGGTCAAACTCTTTAACACCCTTAAAACAGTTCTGGTGGAACATATATGGCATCTATATTATAAGCGGGGGATACATCATAGGAAAGCAGGGCTGGAAGGGATCTCACAAAGCCAGCTAGTCTAACTCCCTGCTCGGGGCAGGATCACCCCTCACTAAGCCATCTTAGCCAAACATCTCACCAACCTGCTCTTGAAAATTTCCAGGGATGGAGCTCCTACAATTTTAGATAGCTTGTGCCAATGCTTTGACCACACACAGTCAGAAAGTTCCTCCTAATGTCTCACCTAAACTATTGCTGCAGCTTGAGTGTACTGCTCCTAGTGCTGTGTCCTACAGCTATGGAGAAAAGCCCATCTCCATCCTCTAACTGCCCTTCAGGTATTTGAATACTGTCATCAAATCCCCTCTCAGCCTTTTTTCATCAGTCATGCTTCCCAGGCCTCTAATCATGTTTGTTTGCTCTCCACTGAATTCCTTCCAATCTCTTCACATGCTTCCTGAAGCGTGGGGCCCAAGACTGGACACAGTACTCCATCTGAGACCTTACGAGTTCTGAATAAAGCAGGAGAATCGCTTCCCTTGATTTGCAGGTGACACTTCTGTTAATACAACACAGTATGCTGTTGGATTTTTTGGCAACAAGAGCACACTCATATTCAGTTTATGGTCTACTGAAACCCCCAGGTCCTTTTCTACAGTTCTAGCAGAATAACCACTCATTCATACAGTCATAGAAAATAAGAGTTGGAAGGGACCTGAGGAAGTCATCTAGTCCAATCTCCTACTCAAAGCAGAACTATCCCTAACTAGATCATCCCAGACAAAGCGTTATTTAGCTGGGCCTTAAAAACACCCAAGGATGGAGATTCTACAACCTGGGTAACCTGTTCAGGTGCTTTACTACTCTTCTGGTGAGAAAGCTCTTCCTGATATCTAACCTAAACCTCCCTTGCTGCAACTTGAGCCCATTGCTCCTTGCCCATTGCACCTGCCACCACTGAGAGCAGTCCAACTCCATCCTCTTTGGAACCACCCTGCAGGTAGCTGACACTGCTATTAAATTCTGTCTTTCCTTCTGCAGCCTAAATAAGCCCAGTTCCCTCAGCCTCTCCTTATAAGTCATGTGCCTCAGTCCTCTACCCATTTCCATTGCCCTCTGCTGAATTCTCCCCGATGTATCCACATCCTTTCTGTAGTGGGGGGCCCAAAACTGGACACAGTATTCCAGATGTGGCCTCACCAGTGCCAAACAGAGGAGGAGAATCACTTCCCTTGATCTTCTTGAATTGCTCCTACTAATGCAGGGCACACTGTTGGCTCATATTCAGCCTCTTGTCCAGGGTAACCCACAGGTCCTTTCTTGCATCTACAGTGCATCTACTACTCCCCCCAAACTTCCTGAGGGTGCACTTCATCCCATCTTCCAGATTACTGATGAAGATACTGAACAAAACCGGCCCCAGGACTGACCCCTGGGTCACTCCACTTGAGACTGGTTGCCAGCTACATAGAGTCATTGGTTACTACCCTCTGAGCCCAATGATCCAGGCAGTTTTCTATCCACCTCCTGGTCCATTCATGCAGCCTGTAATATCTTATCTTGCTTGTGAGAATGTCCATATCCCCAGGCTATATTCTGTCCCAAGTGCCTGTCCTTGTTTAATTTCACCCGACTGACTACAGACCAGTACTCCAGTCTATCCAGATCATTCTGAATCCTAGCCCTACCCTCCAAAGCATCTACAACTACCCAACTTGGTGTTGTCTGTAAATTTGCTAAGTGTCCACTTGATTCCATCCTCCAAACCATTAATGAAGACATGAAACAATATCAGACCCAGGACAGAGCCCTGTGGAACCCCTGATACCAACTAGACATTGAGTCATTCACAACTACTTATTCAGCCCAATGATCCAACCAGTTACATACCCACCTTACAGTACTTTTGTCTTGTCTACATTTCCTTGGCTTGACATTGTTGAGAATGTCATGGGAAATAGTGTCAAAAGCCTTGCTATGGTCAAAGTAGATCACATCCAATGTGCTTCATACATCCACAGAGCCTGTCACGTTATCAGAAAAAGAAACCAGGTGGGTCAGGCATGACTTACTCTTGGTGAATCAATGCTGACTGTTCCTGACCACCTTGTTCTCCTCCAGGTGCTTCTCCATTATCTTTACAGGTATTGAGATCATACCGACTCGTCTGTAGTTCCCTGGATCCTGCTTCTTCCTTTCTTAGAGAGAGGCACTGTTTGCCATTTTCTAATCATCTGGGACCTCACCTGACCTCCATGAGTTTTCAAAGGGGATAGCAAATGGCTCTGCAATTACCTCAGCCATTTTCCTCAGCACCTTAGGGTGCATTCTATCCAAACTGGCTAACTTGAAAGCATCTAGGTTCTCTAAGTAACCCCTTACCTGTTCTGTCATAACGCTAGGCTATTTAACTGCTTCCCTATCTTTGCTGCCACCAGTGCTTGTCATTGGTAGCTGCCCCTAATTTGTGAGGAGTAAAAAAGGCATTAAACACTTCAGTCTTCTCTGCATCATCCATAACTACTGGATGATGCAGACTACTATGGATGATTCAGACTACTGAATTTAAAGCAACCCTGAATTTAAGATGCCCCACCCCCCAATAATTTGACACTATATATGGAAAATATCTAAATTTGTTATAATTTTCCACGTATAGAATCTAATTATTGGAGGGTCATATTTAATTCATCCCTACCCACTGCTGCAGGGGTGAGGGGGCAGGTGGTATGGTAAGGTCAAGCTGCTAGCCCCCTGCTTGTGCCTGGCCCCCTGCCACTTCTGTGCCCCCTCCCTGATCCCCCCCAAGCTCTGGGCCCTCTCTTCTCCTCCAGCCACTGTTCCCCACTTCCTCCCTCCCTTATCCTTGCTCCATGGCAGGCTCTGTTCCCACTGAAGCCTGGGGCACTGAGCATAACCCCAGCCCAGCCCCCATAGCAGCTGTGCATGCTGCGCTCCACTGCTATGAGGCCAGGCTGGGGCCGTGCTATGGCTATGGTCCCAATCCCAGATAGGGGCCGGAGCCTAAGCTACAGCAGCCACCTGCCCCCTCCACCCCATTGCCCTCATACTGGATTTTAAGAGGTCCGTCCCCCCACACCAATGTTAAATGGGGGGAACCTCACCTTAGAATTAAATAAAAACAGTAGATTGCCTTTTGCACTCCATAAGGAACCCATTTCTTTGCTCTTCCTCTTACTCCGGACATACTTGTAGAATCCCTTTTTATTGCCTTTTATGTCTCTTGCCAGTTGGATCTCAAGTTGTGCCTTGCCCTTCCTAATTTTCTCTTTGCATGCCCATGCAATGATCTTACACTCTTCCTTAGTACTAGGACCAAGTTTCCATTTTTTGGAGTACTCCTTTTTCAGTTTCAATTCAAAGAGATCACCATTTAGCCAGGCTGCTCTCCTGGTGCACTTCCCATTCTTGTCTCATCAAGATAGTTTGTTCCTGTGCCCTTAATAGCCTCCTTAAAAGTACAGTCAGTCAGCTTTCCCCTCAGACTTACCTCCCAGGGGATCCTGCCCACTAATTCCAGAGTTTGCTAAAGTCTGCTTTTCTGAAGCCCAATATCTTTATTCTATTGCTCTCCTTCCTTCCTTACCTTAGGATCTTGAACTTTTCTCATTTTGTGGTCAACATTTTTTTTAAACAACAGTATTTATTCTTATAATGCATTTTCCCCTTACACAAAATAGTTCTGGACACCAGAATTGTACATTTGGCAACCACAAATGGACAATGTTACACTTCTGTCTAGACCCGCGGTTCTCAAGTGGGGTGCTGTGAAATCCACTCAGGGGATACAGGCACCGCTGCAAGGGCCAGATGAAGCTGCTTTGCACACAGGGCTGTGGCATACGCATGCTCCTCTTGCATCAGGGTTCTCCATTAACCCTAAATCAGGAAGAAGGGCCAGCTTCTGCAGTAGCCCTACTTGGTCTTCCCTACTCACTTCTCCCAGAAACAGGTAGGACAGTTCCACCCATCCTGTGTGCCTCTTTCTGGAAGACACTGTGCAGAGTTGGACTGCCAAGGGCTGCAGCATGAGCCGGCTCTCCAGTCTACATTAGGGTTATCAGAGAATCTTATTGAAGCAAGAAAGTCTACACGTGCCCCAGACTTTCCCAGTCTGGCTGCATACCAGGCAGGCAGGATAGTTTTACTCGGGGCAGTGGTGCGTGGTTGAGAACCACTGAGGTAAGCTGAGACCATACGAACGGTGGTTCTCAACCATGCAAGCCACCACATTCAAAAGAGCTGTGGAGGGGTGCCTTGACTGAAAAAGGAGAGAACCACTGATCGAGACAAGCGCTTGATTCCCACTGCTGCTAGTTCCGTGTCTTTTAAAGAACTGTTCTCATGTTGTTAAGAACAGATTTCATTTTTAACTCCCAGTCTCAACGGTGTTAGCATTTCAGACTTGGAGAGTCAAATGGGTTCTATCCAGCCTGGCGCTTCACATCTTTTTTCCTTTTCCTCAGCCCATGCAGCTCTTTCTTCAGGTGTTTTACAGCCTGCAAAATGTCCACCCGCTGGGGATCATCCTCTGTTTTCTCTGTATAGAGGAGGAAATGTTTCACAATTTCAGAAAGCAACTCTTCAGGGTTGACATCTGTTTGATGCAGACGCAACATCCTTTCGCAAGCGATTGCGTAGTTTTTATGCCAATTGACTGGATGCTTTTTATGCAAGTTGACAATGTCCTTGTAGAGCTGTAGAAAGGAAAGAGAAAAACAGTTTCCTTTTTTTTTTTTTTATGGCATTGCAAAAGCGCACAGTTACAGAAGATGGACATGATTACGATGGCCAGAATCTAGAACGGACTTTATTTTGTTTATAATTTGATCTAAGGTGTATGAAGCAATGCACAGAGTGTGAGCTGAAATTTCACCGAGTAACAAAAATATCTCAAGCTACTACAATTTGGCCAATTCTTTTTTATGACAGTTGCAGATGATGGAGATACCCTCAGACTACAACTTTACACACTGTCCTGAGAGAAGTGCTAGGTTACGAAAGAGATTTAACCTTTAGCGTATAAGGAAGATATCCACTCAATTGTTCGTAAGGTCAGGAAAGCAGTCCAACTTCGCTGGGGATTTAACCACGTGCATACTTGAGAACACAGCTGAAGTGGGGGCTGCAACACTAACCTGTACAAAGGAGGAAACTAGTAATTGTCTTAACCTAGTTTATGAGCAGGGAGAGGTGGTTAGCAGTGTTAGTTTGAAGTCAGACAGAAGGCAAGGTAGATTTGCACCTTATAGACTAACTAAATCAGAGATGTATAGCATAAGCTTTCATGAGCCCAAGCTCGCTTCATCAGACTCATCATTTATGAAGTGAGTGTAGGATTGCAAAGGCTCTACATCTTTGATTTAGTTAGTCCATAAGGTGCAAGTCTACCCTGCCTTCCCCCTAGTTTATGAACTTTTCTCTCTGTCACAGAATGACATACAGTGGCACAATTACTAATCATAGTATGTCTACACTGGGTCTATGCTATTTCCATGGCACTCCTCAAATCATGCCAAATGGCGTTACCCAACCAGAGGCACAGCTGAATAGTTCTACACCCCACGGAGCAGCAGTGCACAGGGAAACAGCAGCAGCAGCATCTGGGCTCCTGGTGGTGGCTGCTATTTTTATGCGCTCCCTAAGTTGGTGTCTGGGGTTCATGCCACGCTTGCTCCCCCTTCATTACCTTACTGGCTCCAAATCTGCTCCCATCCCAGAAATGAAGCACTGCTGCTCTCAAGCAAGCTGGAGACAGATCTCAAAAGCAGTGGCTGGGGGCATCCTCGTGCTGGCTTCACTTGTAGGTTTGCTGTGTGGGGATCAGGAGCAGGGCTGTGTTTCTTACTGACCCTTGTCAGGAGCGCCACTAAATTAGTACAGACCCACCCTTCAGATCCTTGCTACCAAAGAGATGTGAATTAGAGACTGCAGATTGTGAGAGTGAGAGAGAAGCACAGCACAGGTCATTTCTGGAGAGAATAATTTAGAAAGTTATATCTGCTGGCCCACTGGCTTGGCGTGGCTACACACTGATGTGGGAGACCAGCCTACATAGCAAACCTCAGGATGACTGCTCTACTAGCACAGGTTTAGGAGCCAAGCACAGACAACATCATTCTAGAGAACAAGGTAGTGACTGGCCAGCTGCTGGAATTGCCTGTCTTTACTGAGTGATTATCTACGCAGATCACTCTGATTGCTGGGGGAAGCAAATAAAAAGGGGAAATAGGAATGAATACAACTCCTTAGCAGTCCCCTTTCACAATCGCCATGGATATGTGCAAGTGCCAAGGGCACTGTTATGATGTCAAAACACTAGAGAGAGCTCAACATTTACAAAAAATAAAAAGGAAAAAAGGTAACAAAAAAAATCATTTACTTTGTAGGCAAACGTATAAAGTTGTGATTTTATATCTGCAGACACACTAGCTGCTTCTGCAAGGTCAAACATGAAGAAGGCTGTTTTCATCCTGGAACACAATATAAACTTCATTAGCACGAGCATAAGACGTTCTTTAACCAGAACGAAGCCACGTCAGATTCTTAGAGAGCTCTTTAACGCTACAGAAAGCCCATGGTTACTGTATAACCTTTTTTATATCCAACTGCTTTCTTACTCTGTAGCCAAACCCTCCTCCCTCAGGACATTCCCAGCACATTCTACTAGTGAAATAAAAAATTGTGCATTTCTACAGGATCTGATCAAGGGAATTCATTCAGATTGAACTGCATTAATGTTAGGGACAGTCCGGATGATGCAGAGCAATGCCCTTGCCAGCAAGCCTTCCTCAAGTCCAGTGGTTCTCAACCTTTTCAGACTCAAGGCACCACTTGACTGGTGCAAGGCACTCCTCAGGAAATACCAGCTCCATGGCTTTCACTCAATGTTTTGAGTACAGAAAAATAGAAGAGTAGTTCTTCTGTTGCAAACAACATAGAAAGACGACAAGGCAGAACGGTTTTCACACTCTGGGTTCCTATTTGAAATATCTGGGTTTATCCAGTGAATCACTTCTACACACCTAACAGTGCTAACATTGCATGGCATCCTGCAGCATCCCTAAAAGGATCTCAAAGCACCCCAGGGTGCTATAGCCTGGTTGACAATCTCTGCTCTCTCCATTTTCCTTTGTTTATGAGGGGAAATATTAAAGTTTGTGGCAAGGCTACAACCATCTGAGGCACAGTCAATGACTGCCTACAGCACTGGAACTGCCTCTCAATTATAAAGTGAGCAGCTCTTCAAAGCAAGTACTCCTGTTCCACACAGATCCACGCTCACATGTGTACCCAATGATTGTTTTTTCAAGATGACAGTCAAAGAGGGTTTATCTCTTCTTTTACAGAATTATTCTCAAGTCTTTTTGTGCTAATCATTTTCTCTCTTAAAGCTCTGATCTTTTATTAGCATTTTCCATACTGCAGGGCCTGAAAAGTTTTTTGGGGGGAGAGAAGAGGGGTGCGGAGGGCATCTGTGAATCACTGAAAGTTGACAGCAGTCTCCCTACTTCACCCTCTCTCATGCCCTTCTGCCCCCCACTGCAAATGAAGAAAATCAGTGGCAACTGACACCAAGGAGAATCAGCAATGAGGTAAAGTGCCGGTGGCAGCTGAAATAGAGTGATGGAAGAGTGCCTGACTACTACGGAGGGACATAAACCCACAAGGTTTGGGAAATGTGGCGCTGCATAGCTATACGCTGTGATTATGCTGACTACCTTGACATGAGTCCCATGCCAGCAATTTGGCATCACTAACTGCAAGTTGCAGAGGAAAGGAAGGAACCTCACCTGGCTTGCCACATCTCTTCATTGGCGACAGCCTCCCATGAAGACGGATCAAATCTAAAAGGGAACAAAAATAAAATTAAAGTCATCTGATCTACTGTACTGGATCCACCCTTGGTAGTCTTGCAGCCGTTTTGCCATCTGCACACAACCATCTAACCCAATCTGCAAAGGGTATAAGCTACCAGGACAGAAGAAACCACTAAAGGACTTGAGGGGACAGGCAGCACAGAAATCAGGAGGAATCTGCTCCTTCATAACTCGTTTTCTCTCTCTACTGTGAGACATGTAGAAAAGTAGAGTCTCCGAAGAGAAGCACCCTTCAGAGCTCCGTTCATAGCTCTTCTGGAGTTGGCTGATTTGGCCTTAATGCTCTTTGACCCATGTAAACAGGGGAGGAAAAAAAAAAAAAAAAGAGACCAAGTTTCAGAGCTAAGCCCCTGGGTCTTTAGCTGCCAGGTCAAACTATTGTACGAACTGTACTTTAATACCACAGCTCTGAAAAAAGTAGTGCTCATATCTTTTCTTTGGATGTAGGATCCTTTTAAAAGCCCACGGACATATTTAAAAATCCAACTATGTTGTTTAAAGGCTGTAAAAGGGAGGTTGAGATTCAGCAAAGTGCACTGTTATTGAGCAAGGGACTAGAGCATCTTTCTTAAATCTCATGGACCACGCTGGCATGTGGGGACGTGTTTTAGTGGTCCACAGAACAGGGGTAGCCTCAGTACATATGCTAATGTTTTGCTGAATCACAGCTTCAGTGCTCACGGCAATATCTGGAAAAAAGTATAAAAATTGCTTTGTATGAATCTCTACACAGCTGTCAGTGCCCCCTCAACTCTGGCTTAAAGCGCCAACAAATGTCCAGTTTGGAAACACCTTGCTAGTAGGGCTATGCGAAACAGCACCACTTCGTTTTGACTTCCATTTTGCCGTTTCGAAGGGACAGTGTTTCATTTCATCATTTCGTTGCATTACGAAGCACTGTTCCATTTCAATTCATTGAAACAGTTTTGCTGTTTCGATGTTTCACCCATAGGCTATAACGGGGAATCATCCATAGGCTATAACGGGGAATCATGAAAATGCCAAAAACTTTGTCATTTCTTGCCTGATTCAGATGAAAATTGCAGGGAAGGTACCCCTTCTGGGGGCATGAAGCCTGACAAGTTTCAAGGAGACACGTGCAGAGGTTTCTGGGAAACTGTACCTCAAACTGTTCAAAGCAAAGCTCATGACACTTGCTGGCAGTGGCAGCCTCCTGTCATCCAGTGCACAGATCTGGGGGCCCGCACCCCTGGGAGGGCTGCAGGGCTGTGCCAGACTCCTCCTGGGGGTGCGGGCCCCTGGATCTGCGTGTGGGATGAAAGGAGGTTGCCGCTGTCGCCTGGGACCGGTGCTGGGTGCAGCCCGAGCCCAGCGCCAAGAAGATTGCTGCTGCTGCTGCTGCTGCTGGCCCCAGGCAGCAGCAGCAGCCTCCTGTCATCCGGCGCACAGATCCGGGGGCCTGCACCCCCAGGAGGGCTGCGGGGCTTTGCTGGACTGCTCCCAGGGGTGCGGGCCCCCGGATCTGCGCACCGGATGAGAGGAAGCTGCCGCTGCCACCTGGGACTGGTGTTGAAGCCAAGTAAACCCAGCTTCAAAACTTGGAAACATTTCAAAGCACCCTCATTCCGTTTCTAAGCTGTTTCAAAGCTTTTTGTTTTGTTTCGGATTTGCTGTTTTGAGCTCAAAACTCATTTTGAAGCTGTTTCTATGTAACACCTAGCAAAATTTCGCACAGCCCTACTTGCTAGCCTTAATCATTCCTGTGACCCTAAGTGCAAGCCTTACGTAGAAACATTATTGATGATAGTAAGCAGTGCCAATCTGCACTGATTCTATGGTAGAGAAAGACTAGGATGACTTTGCTAAGCCAGTGTGCACCTGTGACCTCTGCACTTTTTGAGCCTGGCTCTCTGAAGGCAAACAGCTACATGCATTCACACTGCGCACACAGCTCCTCCATTTGGGTATGCTGGTGGCAGAAGAACAATTAATAAGGGGGGAGGGAGTGGGGAAACCCACAGTGGAGTTCTTCATGATTTAAGAACCTAAGGAAGATAAACCTGGCAGGTAGCAGCTGGGCATCATACCTTCCATAATCTTCAGTCCAGTTATAGATGCTCCTTGTAAGATTAATCCACTCTACTGGGTTAAAAACAGTTTTTGTAGAAACCAATTTATCACAGGCTCCCCACGGCCAAAGCGAATAGCTTTTTTTCCAGGTCGAGTCCCCCTCATGAAGCCCTATACAGACGAACACTTCCTTCCTATGGTAGTCAGAGAGAGCAAGCGTTAGCCATGCAACAGACCTTCACCGGCAGTCACACTCGGGGAGCAGAACAACCACGTGTGCCATACCTCTTTGGATAAGACCAGAGGAAGAAAATTAAAGAGGAAGAAATGAAAATGGAGTTCAAGAAACATGTGTTACTTGAAACTAATAAGGGGGGCGGAGGGGGACGACACAGAGGGATGACAACTGTTACTTGTCTCAGGAGCTAATGGCTCCCCTGCCTGGCAGCTGTTCATACCTGCGGTAGCTGTGAAAGGCAGTTTGTGGAGAGGTTTCTAATGGCAGCAGCAGTGGCAAGCAACTCACTGAGCAGTCTTTGGGGGTGTGTGATGGGGTCCCCTTGGCTGGTGTTTTGATTCCCTGCTTTATGGTAAGGAAGAGGGAGATTTCCAGTTTCTTGGGGGAGAAGTAGGACTCTTGCCTCCCTTCTGGTACTCAGTATGCCCCAGTACGCTGGGGTCAGGCAGGAGGGCACTGGTAAAGAGATTGGCAAGCGTGGACTCCCAATATGCTGTGGCGGGTAGCTCAGCCCATCTTCTCTCTGCCTGGGCTGCAGGAGAGGCTGGCGAGGAAAGGTAGATGAAGGGAGTTCATGGAAGTCTGCACTCCATATCCATCTCAACTACTTAATAAGGTGCATCTCTACTCTGCCTTCTGCCTGACTTCAGACTAACACGGCTAACTACCTCTCTGCAGAGGGAAGGTAGAGCTGATGCAGGAACAATATGGAGCATGTCCACCCCCACAACTCTCAACACATGTCCTTGCACCCACTCTTGGGTACAGGAGAGAGGTTGACTCAACGTCAGCAAAGACTGAAGAAGGGGCTGGGCCAAAGCAGACGCAAAGACTCTACCTTACCCCCATTTTGCTGCCAGTGTTGTGGGCCCAGAGTCCACTCTTCCCATTCCCATTGGTCCCCCAAGTCCTTCCCGTCACCCTGCAATCCCTAACCTCTGCCACCAGAGCCAGACCCATTAAAGGCAGCAGACCAATGTTAAAACACACTTTGTAATTTAAAAAAAGGAGCACTGCCAGACAACAACCTTTAATAAAGATTTAAGATTAATGGCTCAGTATGCCTATCCATTAGCAGGGAGGAGTAGTACAGGAGCTCTCATTATATGTTAGCAGTTAAATAACGTGCTCACAACCACAAATGTCATCCCAGCTCTGACAGCGGTTACAACTCAAAGAGTTCCTTGTTCCCAGCCCTGTGATCAGGCTACTACATCTCCTTGTTTCAGCCACTGAACACAAACAAGGAGACGTAGTGGTCCTACACCCAGTGCTACACTGTGTAACCTGGGACAACAATTACACAGGTATTTCACCATCACCTATACACTGGAGGCCCATAGTTACCATGGGGCTCACTGGCAAGACCATCTCATTTTCAGTTTCTCTGGGTTAATCTGCACAGCAGTGATGCTGAAGCTGATGGGCGCCTATACACATGCAGAGAGGCTCCTCTGATATGCTGCAATTACAATGCGCCAGAGCAGACTCGATTAATCGAGTCTGCTGGAGTGTGGTAATTACCGTGCTCCAGCAGACTCCAACGTCACGTGTATCAGTGTTCCTGTGCTGAAAAATAGCAGTGGGGGAACTTTAACTAAAGCTCGTTCAATGAGCTTTAATTAAAGCACACCCCACTGCCATTCTTCAGCGAGAGGACGCTGATATACATGATGCACCAGGCGCTTTAATTGGAGCAGCTCTCAGAGCCGCTCTAATTAAAGCACCCCCCACCCGCCTCCCAGAGCACACCAATAAATGCCCCGTGGTTCCAGCCTGTACAGCACCTCCTGGATGGCTAAATTTTGGGTGTTTTGAAACGTAACAAGAATGCTCTCCTGTGCACTTGGCCAGTTGGGTACTAGCATGCCGTGGTCCAGAAGCACATTTTTTCCTGACCATTCTTGGCAACCATCTCAATGCCTGAAAACCCTAAGACATTCAGCCTGGCTCATCTAAATGCAGATGCTATTCTTATTCATGTGAGTATCTAATCCTTTCTCCACTCTTCCTAAGCTATTTTTGTACGATGATTATTCCTGAAACACATTCATTCTATGCTAATCAGGTGGCCACAGTGTTCATGAAGGGGAAACTACAATGGTTAGTTCTCCACCTGCAACAATTTCAAGTACATAGGAACTTTGTTTCATTTCTTTATTTAATGAACTACGCCAACATCGTGTCGCTCTTCTTTGTGAATCACTTTTTTTTTTTTTTCCCTTACTTTTGGGGGGGGGAAACCAAATGACGTTTGCATCTGGATGGTGTTACTCCTGCATAGATATTCAATTTAATTGCAAAAATAATCTCACCGCTGGCGAGGAAGTCGGTGTAGAAAATTGGTCTTTTGGATGCAGTACCAGCTGCTACATAAACAATTTTTTACAAAAAAGCTTAAAGATTTTAGGAAAGCTATTACATATGAAAGAAATGCTTACTGTTTATTTACTTTGAGAAAATGATGGAGATTAAACGTGCGTGTTCCATCAGGTAACGTTCCTTCCACAGGATTCCACCGGCTTCCAGGAAAGGAGATGCCAGGTAAATGCTTAGCCACCTTGGGCAGATACCACTCGTAAGTCATCATCTACCATAAAAAAATTATAAATAAAACAAACCGTTTAAAAACTTGAACACAAAATATTGCGATGCGCAAAAGAAAGGAAAGGAATAATCTGCAGATTTGCACCGATTTTAAAAATTAGGCTGGATTTAAGGAAAAAAGTTCCTACAAATGCAGATGCATCTATAGACTGGAAATGGTACACAAGGTTTAGATGCATGCTAGGCAGCGTGCTTTGGTTTTGCAATAGGATCGCAAAAGCCCGCTATACAGCTTTATTTTAAATATGCTTTGAATGCCCTCACTCACTTGTGACAAAATGAAATAAGAGATCTTTTCCATATTTAATAATTCTTCCCTGTTTTCAAGGCTACCTGGTGAACAAAACCGGGTGTGCAAAACACCACAAATATAAATAGAAGAGGAATCAGAAAAGCAGTTCTCTGTTTTATATAAAAACTGCAACTAAGAACAGGGAAAACCCTATCCAGGGTATTGCAAAAATGCACCAAAAGCAGGGGAAGAGCCTCAGTATAGCAAAAATCCTTAGGAGACAATGCCAGGCCCCATTACTTCGGTCCAAGTTTGAGGCTGGCATGGAGGCTTGTGGTCAGCTTCCTCCAAGCCTTTTGCAAACGGATGAGATGCACGTCCTTTCTTTTAGCATCTTCCAGGTGTCTTTCCAACCCTGGATCTCTTCCTTTGCTGAGCAGCTGTAGGAGATGCGATTCACTAACTTCTGGAGCTCTGCCTCATCCAGGTAGTTTTACCCAATACTCCTGTAGTCAGGATTCAGGCAGCCTTTCCTGTCTCTTATCTCTGTTGTTCATGCAGCTAAGAGGGGATGGAAGCCAGACAACTGACCAATGCCCCTCCTTGCACTGGCAGCCCCTGGGTTGCTTCTGGTTGGGCATTGCCTCTTCTTCCAGGAAAAGCAAGATGACCTGTAGGCAGCGCTCCTCCCCAGAAACTGGGGGGAGAACGGTAGCAAGAAGAGGAGGGTGCATGTAGAGAGGTAACATCTCATCTCAGGCAAGATGATCTTGGAACAAGGGGAGAGGGAAGGAGGAACCAGTCTTGCACAATAAACAGACATCTGCAGTGTGTTACAAGGCTGCAATTAAGGGCCCCATCCCAGAGCTTCTGCAAGAGTAGGAATTGCCAAGGCTGCTTTGAAGGCTTGCTGTCTCAGGAAGTCTCACTAAGCACAGCATCAGAGGCATTGGTACAACAGCCAGAGCAACCCAGCCCATCAAGGTCATTCCCTACAAACAGGGTCAGCCCATAAGGAAACTTGGGCAAGACTGCATGGTCAGAGCCGAGAACAGACATCTTGCCATCCCCCCACACTGCAGAGCATGTTCTCTTCAGAAAATGTATCTTCACTCCTTGCACAGACACATGCACAGAGTATACCAGTGCTCTCTCCATATTTTAGAGGGGTGAGGGGGAACCCTTTTCTTTTTTTAGATTTACAGATTCTCCGTATCATTCTTTCTTCACTTCTCCTTCACACCTTCAAATTCACATTGGGGTATAACCTTTGACCCTGAAATTCAGCTGCCTGGGATGCCATCTTGTGGGCGCACATGCTCCATTTTAAGCTGAGCCCAACAGTAATAAAAAACAAGTGAATCCTGGGGCTGATGCCCAGTGGGCTTCTCTCCAAAACCTTCCAAAAAAATAAGAGAGCCTCGAGACTTTGAACACATTTTCCAAGTCGTGCCCAGGCTATTCAGTCCCTGAATTTTCAATTAAGATGTGAACTGCAGGAGACGTTTATAAGAGAAAGGTTAAAAATAGTATCACCCATCAGAAGAATGAAAAATATTAAGTGACAAATAAGGGAATAACTGAATGTTCCTACTGTAAAGCTACTGATGGCCTCTTACAGTTATTTGCTTACCTACCTCTTGATCCACTAGTGTCACGTCAGGCCGCATTCCCTCGCAGTAGTGAACGTAGCGGAGGGAGTTCCCTGGCAAGTCTCCTCTGAGCAAGAGTATTGCGTCGGGTGGCATGGAGGACAGAAGGTTTCTTGCAAACTTATCGACTACCTCGTTGCGGCTTTGATCACAAAGGCTAAACAGGAAAAGATCAAAACAGAAATTCCTCAGACTTTTGCAAAACATTTAGATTACCAAAACCATTTGATTTGATATGAAGTCATAAATGAAACTAGCATCTGGTCCTCATACAGTTCTTTTCAGCCACACATCTCAAAATGCCATGTAAAACTCAGCACGCCGTTCTCTGCATTTGACAGACCAAGAAATCGGGCTGCTACAGTTGAGGGCTCAAAGGCCTTGGGGCCACAAGACAGGGAAGTGCTTCCCTAGACTGAAATTGGAGAGGAGGGGACAGGGGGAGTGACACCCACACTTCAAAAAGTCTCTGATGTGTTGTAGATGAGGCCCAAGGTAATACTGCCTCCAAGTTCATGTCAGGGTATAACCTTCAACCTTGAAATCCGGCTCCCAGGCCTTTTACCCCCTTGCTACACCCTCCTCATTCACATCCGGAGTCCCCCTCAGCCCTGTCCCCAAATTATTGGCCTTTTGGATGTATAAGCAACTTGCTAATTTGAGAAGCATGGGGAGGCTTAAACAGAATCCTCCCTGCCTTTTGCAACAGGCCTGTGAAGTGACATCAGTAAGCATTTCTGGTGTATGTGTTACCTGTAATTGGCATAAATTTGACAAGTAACAAGGGCGGTAGCAGAAAGCCACTCCACACACTGCAGCATGCGGCTGTTCTCAAGCGCTGTATTTCCAACAGAGATAAGCGAGGCCAGCCCCAGCCCTGCTAGCACGGCAACGGCTGCATTGCTTTGCATCCAGAAACGTTCTACCTAAGGAACAATGTACACAGAGAATGGATCTAGCTGGCAGGCAGATCATAAATATGTATTTGTTTATGGCAGGGCCCTCGGCGCTTTCTAGACTTTCCGGACAGGACGATCTTTGCTCTGAGGAGCTCACAGTTTAAGGGCAGGCAGAGATTAAGGATGAGGAACAAACTGGGATTTTTATATCTTTTTTTAAAATACAAGTCACACCTCACTTTAAAAGCATGCATTTCACGGGACCACTGCACTCCTACTGCACCTATTTATAAGGAAACACGCTTCGTATGTATAATTCTGAGCTCTATGCACCGTCTAAAACCTGTGTCCTCGGATGGAATCGAGAGAGGCGAGAATGGCCAAGGCCAGCGTGAAAGAGGCACCGTCCTAAAAGGATCGGACTGTAGCAATTTTTAAAATGAAACTCACCACACCCATAAACAGTGGTTTTGTAATATCCAAATTGGCTCTCCAAGCAAAGAATAACGAATAAATGCAGAGCATGCCAGTAAACAGCCATATCATCGAGGACTTCTCCTGCTTAGTCCTGTAAGAAACAACACAGCATGCTGCTGAACATGATTAAAAGGAGACAAAAAAGAAATCGTATTGAACTTGAAAACCCAGAGAGAGAAAGATCCAAGTTTTCTATTGTCATAGGGTACAGCCAAATGTAAGGACTGCAGAACTACACATTAAACATTTAGGGGCAGATTCTGTTCCACTTATTAGGCATCTAAGCATATTTAGTCACCGAAGTCCACTCGCGCATGTAACTGGTGGACTTGAATCTAGCCCTTTAAGTCTATCATCTAGAAGACTTGCTCGGCTGGCAGGAAAAGAAAAGTACATTTGGTCTCTAAGGTTGCTGACAGACCTTTGTTTGAAGGTGTGATGGGAATCTGTGATCCCAACAATTGTGATTTGCTATTCTACACATGCATGGCAGGACATGTGATTTTGGGATCGGGGATCAGATCCCAGTCGCACCATACTTGCCAGTGTAGGGGAAGCCAGGGAACATTATACTGGGCTGTACTGGCAAGGTGCCTGACAATCAGCTGATTGCCCCATGGGCTGGTTTGAGCCCTATGTGATCCCTGGAGTCGACCAACAATCAGCTGATGATTGGCAGATCAGGAACACTTTGTTGCTTGAGCCTCAAAGTATCCTCAATCAGCTAATGATCAGGAGAGATCAGGACCCTAGGATTCGAGCCCCAGGGCACTCCTGATCAACTGATCTTTGACAGGATCGGGACCACACCAGGGCCACCCAGGGCAGGCCTGATCATGCAGACAACTACCTGATTGTCAGTCAGTGTGGACCCCACCAGCCACGCATTCAATTTAAGACGTGATGGAAACCAGCCACAAAGCTAATTACAAATATTCTGTGCAACAACTTTGTGGCAGGTTTCTTGTTTTATTTAATCACCATTAATCCCCAACCCTTGTGATCAGGTTACCCTTTAAGACTCGATTCATTGGTTAATGACCTCTCAAAGGTAACGCCTGGCTGGGGCCTAAGAAACAGCAACTGCACATTTCTGAAAAGTGTGCCCTGTGACTAAAAAGGTTTTATGCCACATGTCTTCAAGCCATCAATCCGTCGGTAAATAAAAACAAATTAGAGCATATTTTGCTCTGACTTACTGCAATGCTGCACATACACATGCAACAACTGCCAGGGCCTGGACGGTCCAGGACAGCTCTGCCTTCATGTGTGTCAGTTGAAAGCTGTGGAGAAATGAATATACGTTTCATCCCCAAATCACGGTCTGCACAAAACAAAACACATTTCATCCAAAGGCCAAAGATGGGCCCAGACCTGCAGGTCAACGTGGCTGCCTGCATATGTCCCAGAGGTCCCCCACAGAAGCTGTGACCTGAACAGCCTCAGCAGCACAGGGGAAGAGGTGGGGGGTGACATCCGAACCGTACAGCTACGGGCAGGAGCTCAAGTTTGTACTCACAGCAGCATTTCTCGCATACTGGATCCCGTCTCAGATTTGGCCTAAATGCAAAAAAGGACACAGTCAGGCAACTTTGCACTTAAAGAGCAGGCTGTTTGGTGGAGGGCCTGCCTTTTTATTCTGGTGGCACGGTGCCCAGGAAAAAGGAGCCCCAGCTGGTACTTACAGGCAGGGGTGGATCCGGAGTGGGAAGAGGGGGAAAGGATGCAATGGTGCGGTTGCACCCCCTTTGATTTTTGCTCCATTCATACTTTAAAGCCAACTGCCTGGGAGGAGCAGTAACATTTCCATTCATGTAACGCCAAGAGAATTCACTGACTGTGGCTCATTATCATCTCCCCAATTCCTGTTAATCTCTCTCCACTCCACAAGTGATAACGACCCTCTCTCTTTTTTAATGGTACGGATGTTCCACTATTCAAACTATCCTTTCTTCTGCAATTTGGCTGTCTGTTAGCCATTGCTGGTAATGTCGCTCTCCTATTTCACAGCCCTGAAGGACTTCTTTTAGCTCAGCCTAAAAACCTTAATTCAGGTGTGACAATAGTATCTCAGCTGTAGAAAGGACCAACAGTGAAGCACTCGAGGTACTATCAAGATGCTCAAGGCGGCTAGATTTTGTTGTATGAATCTGAGTAAGAGATGCAAATTTAACTATAATGACTGCAGGAGTAAGAATACAATATCCTTTGATTATGGTTTGCCTAGTTTGTTTGTTTTTTTTACTGTATTTTAAATTTATATACACTTAATCAAATTAGCGCATATTCCAATATTTATACTTGCTTTTGACTTTGACCTTAAACTGAATAATATAGCGCTTGCTCTGTATCATATTAGTAGGACTTCTAGTTTCTCTTCAACTGGAGAAAAATGTGTGTTGTTACATGTGATGATGTACCACACCATTTGCCCCCCCAACTTTTCAAAATCATAGATCCACCCACGGCTACATGCAAGATCATAAGTTATAACGCACATGGCAGCAACAAAGTTACCTTTTTGTCAAAGACAAAACCATGGCCGACATTTTACCATGCATCACTTCCCAATAGCCTACATAGGGATGGGCAACTCCCAGCACAGGTGTCAAAGCGCACAAAAGGTATTGCTTGGCATGCGCCTTGGAGCAGACAGCGGGGAAGAGGCCAGGGCTGTGCTGCCACAACAAGGATCAGGCCCCTTGCGACTCCCCCGCCATCTGCCTCTGGCATGCCAACATTTTACAAGAAGAGGCTATGGGTGTTTTTGGCACTTGGACCAAGAAAGTCGCTGACTCCTGACCTACGTTTCATTTTAAAACCCAGTTATAACATCATGCAATATGGTACATGCAGCATGAGGGCGCTCTTCATTTCAAATACTACAGCACATTTTTTTTCTGCCTACTCCAAGTATACCACACAGTTTAACACAATATTCACTGGCAAATACACATGGGTACCCAGCGTTTGCTTGGAGACTGCCCTGACGATGCGCGTGAGAGACAGACTGGTGTTGCGTTCCCACATCAGTGTCATTCACAGAATAAAATGAGTCAAAATTGAGAAGTCTGGATTTCTTTACTAGCACTTATGCCTCCAATCAACCTGAGATATTTAGACCGCCCTGCTCTTCCTGAAAGTACTGTAGCAGTTTACACTTGTTCACACTCCTTCTGTCCTCAAGCCACCTGAATGCAAAGCCATCTACAGACGCATGCGAGTCCTAGTACCAAAGAACAGTTAATTCTTATTAGGGATATTCTAATTTAGCTGTTTTAACCATATGCATGGATCAGGAAAGAGGCTGTGGTAGAGGTGTCAGAAGGATTTAAGTCTGGAGCACAGTAGAGAAGAGATCAATTCCACAAAGGAAAGTTACCACTTAATAGATTCTCATTTCTAGATCCTGACCTCTGCCCCTATCGGAGACATTCACAACACAGTGAGAAGCAAGAACAAAAAAAGTGTGGGAGAAATAAGTATAAATAGGGAAAAAAATTCTCCTCTTCCTTATGATTAGCAATGTTTATTCTGGTGCTTCTGCTTGTAATAGCTTTCTGCTGAAGGCTGCTGCTGGTGAGGCTAAGAAATCAAACCTCTGGTGACCTGTAAAAGACGTTCCTGGATGATCAATCGGTAGCATTGCAGGTTTCTTCTCGGGTGGCTCAGAATAATGAAGTGGAATGTGCTGAGTGAGTGAAGCTCCTCTCTAGAGAACAAAGTTATACAAAAATGAATATTCATTGAGGGCACAGAGCTGGATCTACACAGTCGTGGAAGATTTGCACATTTTCAGGCCCATGCATTTAGGATGGGGGGGCAGGGGAATGAAAACACATTCCTGAAGTGGCTAGTTCTAGTAATAAAATCAACTGTAGCAGGTCCTTTTTCTTCTAACATGCACCGGGTACTTTCCTTTGGACACTCAGTGCTATTGTATAAGGGAAGCAAGTAAGATGCCCTAAAAGGTATAGGGGAAAAAAAAGTTAAACTTAGGTAAAACATTTCTCTGGAGGATTCATGTTCATTAAATTAGCCTCCAGGTTCATGTCTTCCGTGAGCACAGATTCTAGAAACTCTTCTTGCTAACGTAAGGATGATTACAAAATATGTCATTAAGAAAAGCAAACACAAAGGGAAA